AACTGTGTTAAAGGGTCGTAGCATCAGAAAGATTGAGAACCAAGGCTCTAGGCAGTCCGTACTGCTATTTTGTCTATTTTTGGCTTGGGAATTAGTGTTTAAGAAACTCAGCCGGGCAGCAGTGGCGCACACCTTTCTTTGATCCCAGCACTTAGGAGGCAGAGCCAGGTGGATCTCTGTGAATTTGAGGCCAGTCTGGTCTACAGAGCGAGTTCTAGGACAGGCACCAAAACTACACAGAGAAACCCAAAACTACACAGAGAAACCCTGTCTCAAAAAACCAAAAACAAACAAACAAACAAAAAACCAGAGACTCAGCTAAGGTCACCAAGCCATGAGCAGCAGAGGAAACACATACCCAGTTCTTGACTCCAAAGCCTAAACTCTTAACCACATTTTGAAGCACTCTAATGATTTCTACCAGAAAAGCAATTTGCAAAAGGGGGCCAGTTCTTTGCTGCTCAGCCCCTTGTGTCTCTCCCACTTTCCTCTGGGCTCTCTCAGGCTCCCTAGTGCATTCCCTTAGATTGCTCCATCCTTTCTTTCTAGCCACAGCCAGGAACCCGGCCTCCTCCCAGTCTGCAGACTGTGAAAGCAGAGGCCTGAGGCTGAGCACCCTGGGAACCCCCTGCAGACTGAGGACCCACCACAAAAAAAACAAACAAACAAAGTGCTTGGGAACCGTGAAGCTTCCTGCATGTCCACAAGCAGCAACTGGACCTGCTAAGACATCCATTGTCCTTTCTGGGACTGCCACTATTTCCATATTACACAGAAATAAATGGGCTAGGATTGTCCAAAGAACTGTGGGACGTTCATACAAATGTACACAGTAGATTTTGGAAACCTGTTACTGAATTATATTTCATTTGGGAGTTGTGAACCCAAAAGTTTTGCTAACATATTTCTAGGAGGGAAAAACCATCTTTTATGAAAATCATGGGATTGTTTGAAGTGACATGGAGCTGTTTGAAGTAACATGGCTGATGAGCAGGTGTGCTGAACTTTTCACGTGCCTTCACCAGGGCTTTGGATAGAAAGGCTGAGGTTTCTGCAGAGTTTTCTGGCAACGTGAATGTTGACCTCTGCCAGGTGTTTGGGTTCCGCTGTCTGCCAGACCTATGTGTCCACCTCCAAGCACAGTAACTTTGAGCCAGCCCCTCAACTTTACAGCACAGCATCTTGAAGATAAGGTTGGTTTTCTGCGGCGACTGAACAGATCAATGAAGTTAAGAGGGAGCATGGTTGGGGGAAGGGCACAGGAGGAGTTGGAGGGCAGAGTATAGGGTAGAAATGAGTAAATCCAGTGCGCATACGTAGAACTCAATAACAATAATAAAATAAATGTTTAAAAATCCAATAAAAGCAATAAAACAGGAAAAAAAAGATTAATGATGTAATGTCTGTGAAAGTGCCTACCACAGGAATCAGTGGAAGGCCCTTAATAAGCAGCAGTTTTATTTAATTTTATGCCATTGCAAGGGAGGGGCAGATAAAAAAGCATGTTATTTAGAACTAAGGAGACAAAACCCATAAATCTGTGGCCTGGAGTTTTCCCAGCATTTAAGAAAACCGTTTGCCTAAGCTATTTTTGTTGTAAAAATAGGGGTCACCAAATCTTCGACCATTTCCACCAGAACTTCACATTTTAGTAATCAAATACTTATAAATTTGGCTAAATAACATACTTCTGCTCTGTGTATTAACACTACACACATACTTGCAGTAAAAAAAATCTTGAAAAAAATTCCCACATACCAGTCAGTAGGGAAAGACAATCAAGACATGAAAAGCACAGGGCTCCCAATAGTAAAGTCAGAAGCCGAGGAAGCTCTATGCCAGTGGTTCTCAACTTTCCTAATGCTGCAGAATGGGGTCGTGACCCACAGGTCGAGAATAACTGAGTCAGTCAGACCCTTTGCGGTTTACACTGATGATGTCTGTGCACAGCTTAAATACCAGCCAGTCTCAAAACAAATACATTATCATTTTCTTCTATTTAAAATATAAAATTTCATTTTCAATATTATTTCCATCTTTTATCTTTGGGTAATAACAATATGGCTAATCTTTTGGGAAAAAAAGGAGTCAGTGAAGAGTCACAGAAGCTAGTAGAATGCATGGCCACTCAACAATGAATCTACAAAAGCCATCCCAGACAGGAAGCCCAAACAGGAAGCCCTGATGAGGACTGTCCTTTGCATGAAGCTTCTGGGCTAGACCTGGACCAGCAGCACTGCCCACCAGGAGGCTAGCAGGCAGCTGCTTCTGCTTCTTCTTCTTCTTCTTCTTCTTCTTCTTCTTCTTCTTCTTCTTCTTCTTCTTCCTCCTCCTCCTCCTCCTCCTCCTCCTCCTCCTCCTCCTCCTCCTCCTCCTTCCTCTTCTTCCCCTTCCTTCCCTTCCTCCCTTCCTCTTCCTCTTCTTCTTCTTAAGGATGCAATGGCCAGGACAGGCCACAGTGACTATCAGGAAGTTCAGGTTACAACAAACTGCCAGTTATTTCCAGAACACAGCCAAAGCCTCCTTGCACAGTGTGGTGGGCTTCCTGGAACTGATTTTTGTTTTGAGATCAGCATTAAACAACTCAAATCAGCTAGACTAGCATTTCAACCACAGCTAAATACACTCGCTGTCCAGCTGCACCGAACTTGAAGCTACACCAGAGTTCTCCTGTGCCCCTTTCTTTCTGCCCTAAAAGCTATAATTGGCCAACTTTTGGGATCCTACAGGTATTAAGAAAGGGAAAAAAGGCAATAAAGCTCTATTATTCTTCACCTTAAACACAAATATTATTTAAAAGTGCATATTATAATTTTATAAAAATTACCTGCATTCAGTTTGGGGTTGGAGAGTTGAGGGTCTTATTTCACTTTCAGCCCCTACAGGATTAGAGATGCTGTCTGGGCTAGGAAAGGCTAGAGTACAATGACAGGTGTGGTCACTCTGTAGGCCAGGTTCAAGTGGGGGTGCTCGTCTGCCTTCCAGAGTGTGACACCCAGTGCCCTGCCCCTGACTGTTAGCTCTCACCATCGCCATGGTGAAACCATTCCAAAAGAGGCTTCAGGACGTAGAGGAGAAACAGCATCAACTACATAAGGACTCCAGTCAGTTCATGTCAGGGAGGTGGAACACAGCACGGAGGGGAATCCTCTTTGCTAGATGGATGCATCACAGCCTTGAAACATCTGGGCCTGGTGCTGTCCCACAGGAGCTAGAGGACGGCAAGGGGACACAGTGGTGAAGCTGGATTGTATCAGCTAGAATGAAGCAACTGAAAGTTGGGACCCCAAGGAGCAGCCTGGTCGAGAGTTCCTGCCTGCTCAGGCAGCAAAGGCTTGGGGGGGGGGGGACCCACATGATGATGAGACCACGGGGATGGGGGACTGGACAAGCCCCCAGAAAAGCGTGGCCTAAGGGCGGTAATGGTGGGATGAGGCAGCTAGCATGCCTATGTAGTACAACAGGTTAAATGTGACTCTCTTCCCTCCAAATGACCTTTATACTGTCTCTGCCCTGTCAATAACTGTTTAACTGCCCTGCCTGCAAAGGACAGAAGAACGAAATGTTTCAGGATCTCTAGAAGCTTTTTGCTGAGGCACATCCCGGGTTTCAGTGAAAAAGCCTTCCAAGTACTATGGGAAGAGAGAACATTTCTAGAAGGAATTGGTATGCTTCCATTTCTGCTTATAAAGAAATACAAATGGCTAGATTAAATTTATTAACAAGTCGGGCGTGGTGGCTCATGCCTACAATCCCAGCACTTGGCAGGCAAAGGCAGGGTTTGAGGACAGCTTGGGCTATACAGTGAGTCTCAGGACGGTCTGGTGAGACGCCATCTCAAACAACCAGAAAGAAACACATTTATTTGAAGACTATGATACCATCCTCAATTACTCTCGGAGTGCATGCTTTGCTGTTAATGTTTCCAAGGGTTTTTTTCTACTAAATTGGTTAACCTCGACCTGGTTCCTCCGGGTACCTTTCTCGAGGGACCTAACCCACAGAGAGAAACCAGCTATAGCCAGAAGGTGAACCTACGTAGGTTATTCATTTCCTGAGCTGACCCACTTCCTTCTTCACAAATTTTCTTCTCATGACCAATAAGCCTTTTGAGATGAACAACAGTGAATTCTTGGAAATATATTTCTGAGCCCTGGGCTGGGAATCTAGACACATGATGAGACCGTGCCATCTTTAACATTTCTGCAGTGACACAAAATTAAAACTTCTTTTTTTGGGGGGGTCTTTCGAGACAAGGTTTCTCTGTGTAGCTTTGGCTGTCCTGGAACTCACTCACTCTGTAGAGCAGGCTGGCCTTGAACTCACCGAGATCCTCCGCCTCCTGAGTGCTGGGATTAAAGGCGTGCGCCATCACTGCCCAGCAAAAGTAAGAACTTCTAACCAAGTGTCATGTCAGTACTGCAAAAGGCTCCCTCTGTCACCTGACTAAGCAAAAGAATCCAAACCCTTATGAGAAAACAAATGTCATCCGAGAGAGGAATGCTCACGTTTCCTAACTACACCACACTGAAAATTATGGCAGCTTTCATAAGGAAATTAACATTTTCGTTTGTTTGTTTGAGACAGGGTTTCTCTGTTTAAGTCTGGCTGTCCTGGAACTCGCTCTATAGACCAGGCTGGCCTTGAACTCTGCCTCCCCAGTGTTGGAATTAAAGGCATGTGCCACCACCACCTGGTGGAAATCAAGATTTTTTAAAGCTTCCACACTTTAATCAAAGTGAAATGAGGTTACTGAGTTTCTCTGTTCTAAGTATTTCCTTGAATACCATTCTGAGTATTTTGTAACTATTAAGATTTTATCTTTTCTAAGACATGCAACTGATGATCTGGGGAGCCGTGAGTGAAACACAACTACGATTCTTCTGTGCTAACCAATATAAAATGCAATCTAAAAGTAAAATAAAATCAGTTCTTACCTGAGTACAAAAAGCTTTATTTATTTACCAGCAGTGAGTGATAGCACAGAAACAGATAACAAAGACTCTTTAAATGTTTATTTTTGTCAGAAGAGCTGACAATATTCTGTTGAGAGTTTTGGTCTATCGTTATAATAAGCATTTCCCCCTTGAAAAACCCACTCAAAACATCCCATTCCTTGAGGTAAAGAACTTTAAAAAAAAAAATCTTGATTTTTTTAAAAGAAAAAAATTATTAAAATTCCTTTAGTTTGATAAATAGAAATAATCTTTTCTTGTTCTACACTGGTGAACATATATGCATTTTATACAGCAAAGTATCCCAGCGCTTATTGGCAAGCCACGGGTGAGAATCACCGGTGCCATGCCGACTCATCACAGATCACAGTGCAACAGTGCCACGTTCATACAGACTTTAAAAAGAACGGTTATCGCCGGGCGGTGGTGGCACACGCCTTTGATCCCAGCACTCGGAAGGCAGAGGCAGGCAGATCTTTGTGAGTTCGAGGCCAGCCTGGTCTCCAGAGCGAGATCCAGGAAAGGCACAAAGCTACACAGAGAAATCCTGTCTCGAAAAACCAAAAAAAAAAAAAAAAAAAAAAAAAAGAACGGTTATCAATACTCTTCCGGCAAAACAACCAAGGTTTTGGAATGGCAAAAGCAAAAGGAGTTTAGGCATCAAAGCGGCTCCGAGAGGAATCAGTCTGAGTCTTCGTCATCAAGGTAGTCCTCGGCGTTGCTTAACGTTCGAACCCCGTCTGAAGAGAAGACAGGAAGGAGGCAACACAAAGAAATCATAAACGGTTCAGAATTTTCCTCACTTTCAGTGCTTTTGACAATTCAAAACACCATCTCCCCTCTGACTGAGGGACTATGGGGTCCCCGAGACCCTTCCCACCGTTGCTTTTCAGCCTATGAAGCATCACTCCTGCAGAGGCTGCCAAGCCCTTTGACAGAGTGAGGCACTTGGTGGGGAGGCCAGCTGTCTGATGCTGCACAAAGCAACCTGCCACATGCACTGTGGCCCGCAGGGAGCACACCAGCAACCCCTTCACAAGTGGCATCAGTCAGTCCACAGCCTGTGCCTTACCTGAAGGCAGGTGATAGAAAGATAACTAATGAGGGAGAAAGGAAAGTGAAAACAGATGCCTAAGTTTCATTTCAGACAAATTAAGTATACAAAGAAGCAAGAGACTGAAATAAAAAAAAAAAAATCAATGAAAAAGCCGGATTCTGTCAAATATTAAAGCAATCTTAAACAGGGGTCAAAAGGAAGACAGCTATTCTAACTGCTGCCTCTTTGGCTGGCATGTCAAATTCTTACACTTTCCAGCAACTCAAAAACATACGTGCTGTTAGAGCTTAACTGCTGCAGAACAGCAAGGTATCCAGATCATACTCTCTCGCTAGCACAGCCCAGATTACACCGGAAATGTGACTTGTCCCGATTCTGCAGAGGGTATGGGAGGATGGGCAGAGAACCCTACCAAGCTAGAAAGATAGCTTGCTTTTCAGGACCTAGCTCAAGGGACAGAGAATGAGAACCTTCAGAGCCTAAGAAACTTTAGACCTCAGTGGAGTCTCTGAAGGTACTAGTCTAGCAACAGGAAGTCAGTGGCAGAGAAAGGAAGTTAGGCCACAGCCCTCCCTCCTCACTCAACTGGACACCAAGGACCAGGAGGTTGACCTCAAGCAAAAGCCGCCCACCCAGCAACAAGCATGGCTTCTAGTTTCTCTCCCACACAGTTGCTAATACGGCTTCCCCCAAATCTGTAGCAGGCACCACCAGCTAAGCTAATAAACACTCTGTCATTCCCTCTAGAGCCCACATCCATAAATGAATGTCTTTAAAGAAACAGCAGTTTAACTCCTGGTTAAAACACCAAACTCCAGGCTGGTTTTCACTGTATGTAAACTGAAAAGGAGGATACTACAAGAGGAGCAACAGGTTCACGGGCAGGCTGATGCTGGGACTTGGTAATGGGCAAGGAGGATAATTTGGGAGGTTCCCTTAAGCCCTGACGAGAGGAAGGATGCTGAGGATTTCTGATGGGCGAGGGCAGGGGACTAGGGAGTGTCTCTGTTCTTGCTTCTGTTAGGAGCCGGGTATGGTACAGAGTGATGTGCCATGCTGCCACTTCTCAGGGTGATGGACATTGGAGGGAAGGATTAGTTTCCACAGGGTTCAAAATTAATGGGAAAAAGCGGTGGTGGCGCACACCTTTAATCCCAGTACTCAGGAGGCAGAAGCAGGCGGATCTCTGTGAGTTCGAGGCCAGCCTGGTCTGCAGAGCTAGTTCCAGGACAGCCAGGGATACACACAGGGAAACCTTGTCTTAAAAAACAAAACAAACAAAGGAATAAAGAGAAATATAACCAGTTTTCCATTAGACAGAAAAAGATTTATGGAAGAGATAGTAAAGGATATAACCAGGTTACCATGGAAACCGAGTGTCCTTCCCCTCTATAATGGAAACACTGATTCTACAGATGTGGACCACCTGAACTGTAGACACTAAGGCTCTACCAAGGCTTGTAACAATGAGCAGCCAGGCAAACCATTTGCATAAGTAAGGCTTCTGTTACACTGTTTCTTCTTGAATGGTGGAGGAAACCTTGGCTTGTACTTTGAAGGAGTATTAAACCTAAGACAATAGAGGGGCCTGGGAGATGGCTCAGTGGGTAGAAGGCGCCATCCTGACAACCTGAATTCAATCCCCAGATCCCACAGTGGAAGGACAGAACCAACTCCTGCAAGTTGTTCTCTGATCTCCACACGTGCGCCATACACAAACACACTCGCTCCTCCCTCCTTCTTTCCCTCTCCCCTCTTCCTCTCTCATGGTCCCTTCCATCAAACCTTTGTCTACATCTATTTATGTATTTAACCTCTCTGGGCTTGATGCCAGCCAGGGAATATGGATGAATGGGACGGGAGAAAGGCACAGTGCTGGAGAGAGAAAGGTGAGGTGAGTGGGCTGGAGAATGTAAGGCACGTCCTCACAGGATGCACACAGAGAGGCCAATAAACAGCCAGCCCCTAGGTAGGTGCAGGTGACTTGTGTTTTCAATGCTGTGGTGGACCAAAGGACAATGCCCTGCACTGCCCAGGCTCACATAATTGCATGCTTAGTCCCCAGCTGATGGACTGTTTGGGAAGGATTAGGGGGTGTGTCCTTGTTGGAAGAGGTGTGTTGCTTTGAGGTTTCAAACGCCTATGCCAAGCCATCTCTCTCTCTCTCCCTCCCTCCTCTTCTCTGCCTGCTGCCCACAGAGCAGCATGCAAAGCTCTCAGCTACTTCTCTAGCACCATGTCTACCTGCCTCCTGCCATGCTCCCCAGCACAATGATCACAGACTAACCTTCTGAAACTGTAAGCAAACCCCCAATTAAATGCTTTCCTTTATAAAAGATGCCTTGGTTGTGATTGTCTCTTCACAGCAACAGAACAGTAACAAAGACAACCCCTTCATTCAAAACAACCACCATGTATAACTTTCACTTCATCCTTTCAAATTTATTTTCCCACATCTACATTTTAATCTTTAAGTATGTACACCTCAACTGGGCGTTGGTGGCACATGCCTTTAATTCCAGCACTTGGGAGGCAGAGGCAGGCGGATCTCTGTGAGTTCAAGGCCAGCTTGATCTATTGAGAGAATTCCAGGACAGCCAAGACTACACAGAGAAACCCTGTCTCAAAAAATACAAACAAACAAAAAAGAATACACCTCATCTTTAAATTTTCAAAACCATCTACACCACTGTGAATAGATTCCAAAATCTTTGGCAAAACCTGGAATAATTTCAATTACAACTTATTGCTACCCTCATTAAATCTAAAGCATAATGCAACCATGGGGTGGGGAACTTGAATTTCAGTTACATCTGTCTTCAGCCACTCCCAGAAGCCATGATGTGAGGGTGGAAAGCACACCCATTATCAGCAAAGAAAAGAAGAAACACACTGTGAAAGAGCCTGCCTTCAAATTTGCTTACCTGACACTATTATTCTACTCTAGATCTGATTTACATCAGTGGTATATATTCAAAATTCACAATCATTTATCAAGGGGGGTAATAAAACCTTCTGTGGGGCTGGAAAGATGGCTCAGCAGTTAAGAGACCTGACTGCTCTTCCAGAGGTCCTGAGTTCAATTTCCAGAATTTACATGCCAGCTCACAACTGTCTATAATGGAATCTGATGCCATCTTCTGGTGTGCAGATGTACATGTAGACAAAAGTCACAAATACATTGTGGTAGCTTGAATGTAATTGGCCCCCATAATCTCATAAGGAGTGGCATTATTAGGAGGTATGGCTTTGGTGGAATGGGTATGGCCTTCTGGAGGAAGTATGTCACTGTGGGGGTGGGCTTTGAGGTTTTCTATGCTCAGGATACCACCTAGTGTCTCAGTCGACTTCCTGTTGCCTGCAAGATGTAGGACTCTCAGCTACTCCTCCAGCACCATGCCTGCCTGCATGCCACCATGCTCCCCATCATGATGATAATGGGCTGACCCTCTGAAACTGTAAGTGAGCCCCATCAATTAAATGTTTTCCTTGTAAGAGTTGCCATGGTCATGGTGTCTCTTTACAACAATAGAAACCCTAACTAAAACACACATAAAACACATAAATAAATATTTTCTTAAATTTTTTTGTTTCTTTTCAATTTTTTAAGATTTATTTACTTTATGTATATGGTGCTCTATCTGCACGCACACCTGCATGCCAGAAGATGGCAACAGATCCCATTATAGATGGCTGTGAGGCACCATGTGGTTGCTGAGAATTGAACTCAGGACCTCTGGAAGAGCTGCCAATGCTCTTAACCACTGAGCCATCTCTCCAGCCCCATAAATAAATCTTTAAAAAAAACAAAAACAAAACCCTTTTGCAATAGAAAGATGCTAAGTCTCAGTCATAAGCACAACAGCAACATAAAACAATACCTGTCCCCTGCTTCTTTTTCAGGAGTGACGCACAGGCTGCATTGGTGGCCATGTCCAAGGCCAGCTTCTTCTCATTGTTTCTCAAGTCTGTCCTGGCACCTTCCAACACAAGAAAAGGAAACCATGTGTCTCTGAGGACTGGACCACAGCAGCCAATCCTCTGTACCAAGGCAGCCAATCCTCTGTACCAAAGTTAGTCACTTTGGCAAAGCTACCTAGAGAACAATTCTGGCCCAGAATGAACGTGACAGGGATTACACAGGACTTTTCAATGAGGCCATTACGAGGTCCTGGGTAAATCCTAAACCGCAGTCATAACCATTGTCCCAAGGGTTATGTGGATCTTAGCAGAAGGCTTTGGGGCTTCCATCTGGCACACCCTTTGCCTCTCCTTCAGTTCATGAGGGCCTTTAGAAAACTCCACTGGGTTGAATGTCAGGGGATTAATATTTTATATCTGCAGGTGCATTCATATGTAAATCAGCAGAATGGCAAAACAATAAAACTCATCGGCAATTCATTGTTCCCAAATTCATTGTCCCTGTAAGCCCTCTTCCACTCATTTTTTCCCTTGTCTTTGTGCACAAATTACATCAGAATGCAGAGACATCTGCATTGTTACAGAACGAGAAATACAGAAGCGTACTCATCAGTGTTGATTTACTCCCCTGCACTAAGCTCTTCAGAGGTGACCACTCTTACAGTGGACCTGAGCCGTCTCTCTTATGTTTGCCAATGATCTGCACACATATGAACATGTGCACAAAGCCAAACCACCTGTGCTGCTCTGTGATTCCATTTGTAAATTCCACCTGTTTACTTTGTATGTATGTGTGTGGACACCTGCGTCACGCTGCCCCTGGAGGGCCAGAGCTGGTGTTCCCCTTCCACCATACGGGTCCCAGGGACTGAACTCAAGTCCTCAGGCTGGTGGCAGGCACCCTTCCCTGCTCAGTCATCATGCCAGCCTTAGAGCTTCATTTTTAACTTAACAGGAATTAAACAAGGGTGCACTTTTTCTTAGATACGCACAAGACTCGATGTATCTGAACATTTACAGGTATTGCAATTTGTGGAGGTTCCAAAACTGATTTCATCACAGCTCTAACGGCAGGAGTCAGTTCTTCCTGATTGCCGTCATTTCCAACACTATCATGAGCAGCGTCCCTGAAGGACTTGCTCACAGGTTTACTTAAAGGGTTCACTAGAAGTGGTACTGAGGGCTGCGGTCAAACTGTCTTCCTCGCCTTCTATCACAGCCACACTTCCCACAATGTATGCAGCACTATGGGTGCTTGCAACCACTTTGAAAACAAAACATTAAGTGTGGCTCAGCAGCACACCGCTCATGGCCGCCACATTAGACAGCACAGTCTTCAGCATGACCTTTAGGAAAACCCAACAATCGTCCTCATGGCGAGTAATCTTTTGGACCAAGGGTTTGCATCATCATCTCACTTCAACCAAAAACATCCTTGCTCATAAATTCTACAATACTGCCCCTAAAGATTCCTAAAGATAGAATCTACAACTTGTGGCTTGGAGAAAGATTCCACAGAATTGCCCTCTGGGCCAAGCCCCTGACTGATATGCATGGCCAGCTCTCTGCAAGAGCAGTTAATATTTATGGGACAAGCAGATAAATGGATGAGCAGTCCCTGATTTAGCTGTTTGCTCTGAATCGCACAGAAGCAAGAAATGGGATCAAAGTATCCTTCGTTCACACCTCAGCACTGGCTCAGCTTAGGCAAGAGCAGCTACAGCATTTCTGCTATCTATTCAGGCTCTCCCAAGCAAACATGAGCCTCACCAACTTTCCCAGGACATGATGCCCTGAAAAACCTTTCCTCCTAAAATCCTTCAGTCCTACAGATATGCATAGCAAGTTCCTTCTAAAAGTAATATGTTTGTATGTACTTTTTAAGTTTATCAAGGTCTTAATTCACAGTAAAAAGTACCATAAATGTACCCCAATAATTTCATCTCAATTATAATAATGATGTACTATAGACAAGAGTAGAGGTTAAAACTCCAGCTTTAATGGAAGGAAACTTAATCTTCCTACTATTTTAAAAGGCCTGCTTCGTTAGGAGCTATTTTTCAAGGCAAGCAAGTATCAGGTCAACTCAATAAAAATTTTACCTTTTGCCAGTAGCAACTGGACAATGTCTGCATAACCCTTCCAGGCAGCTGCGTGCAGAGCTGTGTCTCCCAGTTTGTTCTATGGTGAAAGAAAGGGAAAACAGTGTTACAAAAATACCAAGTGGACTGGATGAAGAGAGCAATGTAAGTTTAGTCCCTGTAAATCGAAATTAAGAGAAAAGCTCCAGAACCGCATGGAATTCCAAAGGAGAGAGGAACAAGCAATGATAAAATCTGCTCTGGGAGGCCGGAGGCAGCAAAACTAATGTGGCAGAGACAGGCTGAGGCACAGGCTCCTGCTGAGAGAGGCCTTGGCAGGAGATGCAAAGAGACCCAGAAAAAGTCAGGAACTGAAGATTCCTAGAGGCACTGGGCAAGAACGAGGCATGGAGAGAAAACAGGAGTGACCAAATGGATTCATACAACATCATTAGACCCCTTGGACCAATTACTGGCAGATGTCCCACTAACAGCAGTAGAATTGCCCTGCTGAGAGATTCCCAGAGTTCCCCAGCTCATGCACAATGGCAGGAGAGAAGGTGACAAGAGTCAGCTGGATGAAAACCTGCAAACTGAACAGTAAGATCCTCCACTCAGCTGCTTTTACCCTCACTGCCCAGTGGGAAGGGTGAAGGGTGGTGACTTCGGCCAGGAGAGTGCAGGACCTCTGCCAAACAGTATGGCCCCACAGTGAGGGGTAGGAGTGGTATTTATGTCAGCATACTCAATAACACAGGAGGGGCCTCATCATGTCACCCTATGGAGAAGTCCATTAAGGGGCACCCCACCCTGCACCAAGAGCACATAGCTTCCAATCACAGACAAATGGATGAACCAAGACACTGGGTGTTTGAAAACAGCTTAAGTGTTTGAGTAGAGGTCAACTTAAACAAAAAAAAAAAAAAAAAAAAAAAAAAAAAAAGCTCCTAGGGAGAAAAGCACAGTAAATAGCAGAGAACATTTTTAAAAGCAATAATTAATATATCAGCCATATTAGATGGCTTTACATAATCAGACAAGAAAAGGATGCCATTAAAAGAGTGAAATAAGAGCTTGTAGTCAACAAACTTCTCAGATGACTCCTGCAATGCCTGATCTCCCTCGTCCCCCAACAGACCCCATATACAACCCTGTCATCCTCAAGTGTGGGTGGAGCCAGAGAATATAAAGGTCATCACTTCTATTGGCTGGGGCATGGTGGTGCATGCCTTTAATCCTAGCACTCAGAAAACAGAAACAGGTGGATCTCTGTGAATTTAAGTCTAGCCTGGTCTACACAGCAAGTTTAAGGCCAGCCTGAGATACATAGTAAGACCTTGTATTTAAAAATAAAAAGCCCAACACTTTGTAGACAATATTTATTGGGTTCACCAAAAGGGAGATTATTATGGGTAGGCCACATCTAGTCAGGCAGGCTTTTAAAAACAAAGGTTAAATGGCAGAGCAAAGACCACCTACTAGCCACAAGGAGGACGGCAAACAGCCATTTTGTGAACTCTTGATAGAAGGAAGTGGCATCTAAAAGCTGAGGTCATCAGTAGGTACTACAGGGGCAAAAAGCTCAAATCTCAGCAACTGTAGTGAGCTTAGACAGGAACCTCAAGCTTCTCAAGAACACAGTTCTAATGGAACCTGGGCTTTACAGTGTGAGATCCTGAATCTTGTGATGTCATGCTCAGAATTCCAACCCACCCCATACACATTGCTAAACCTGGGAATTTGCTACACAACAATAGAAAATGAATACAGAACTTTGGGGAATTAAAAAAAAATCAAAATAAAAGTGGGGCTGCAGAGATGGCTCTGTGGTTAAGAGCAACCACTGCTCTTCCAGAGGACTCAGGTGCAATCCCCAGCAACCACATGAAGGCTCACAAGTGTCTGCAACTCCAGTCCCTGGGGAATCTGATGCCCTCTTCTGGCCTCCATTGGTACTACATGCACGTGGTGCATATACCGGCCAGCAAAACACCCATGCACATAGAAATAAAATTTTTTTAAAAATTTAAAAAAGGAAATCATTGAAAAAAAAAAGGATAAAGGTGAAGAAATCTCTGATAAAAAAGAAATCTAAGGTTCAACCTGTAGAATCAAAATAGCAAAGAAAATGGTTAGATGTAGGGAAGGAAATAAGGTGATTTCTCAGGTTAAAAGGATTCACTGCAGGCACTAGGGAAAAATAGCACTAAGGCACATCCTTTTAAGTTTTCAGAACCAAAGACACAGACTCCAATGGGAAAAAGACAGGTCACAAACAGACTGCAAACTGCCAGGGTTAGAAGTGGTGGGAGCTTGTCTCCTAAGGCTCACAGTTGAGAGTCTGGAAGAGAGCGGAGCCTTCAGCAGAAGGGTCCCTGCTGTGGTTTGGATCTTAAGCATACCCAGAGGTCCCTGGCATGCTGCTATCCAGAAGGAGGCGGTAGAGTCTTGGAGAGAGGGGCAAGTGAGAAACCCCACATGCCCTGGAGTGTGTGCTTAATGGGGTGGTGAGACTGTCCACTGCAGATGCAGTGAGCCAGCCGATCTGTACCACCATGTGCTCGCTCACCTTGGTACCAGCCCAAGAGCAATGGGGCCAATTTATCATGCAACAGCACTTCCCAAACTGGGACTGAAGGAAAGCTTTTCTCTTTGTGAGTTGATTATCTCCAGCATGCGCTGTAGTACCAGAAAAGGATTGAGGGTATAGCTCTCTGATGCACACCTGAACAATGTGAAGACTTGGCTTTACACCCCAGTACCACATCACAAAAACACACTCACAGCAACAAAACTCCGTGTGCTGTCAAATTTCAACCAAAATACTGTCTCCATGCACAAACTGTACTGTGTCAACGAGAAAGAGGTGGGTGTGCTAGATGCGTTCCCCACGGTAGGCAGTCTCACCTGCTGGTTCAGCTCCACGTTCGGCTGAGTAAACAGAACCTCCACTATGTCTGCAATTCAAACAGAAAAAGGAGTTTCTTAAGACGGAAACAGCAAACGTTGTAAAAGCAGACATCATAATAGCAAAAGACAAGACTTATTAGGAGAATGTTCTAGAAAATTCTTATAAGTTCCTCAAATTTTTATATTCAGAAAAAAACCCTAAAAGGTAGATTACAAAAGAAAAATTTCAGATCCGAAGGTATAGCTCAGTTGGTGGAAAGAGTAGAGGGTGGAGTTTGGGCTACAATGAAGTACACAGAATTCGACGTGCCATTATTACTGATTGCCACAGAACTGCAGACCCAAGTCAGTGTGGTACTTCTGAATTTTTCATTAAATTTAAAATGTAGGGCCAAAAGCATAGCTAGGGAAAAGCTACAGGAGCCAACGGAGCCCTCCCTGTGGCATGTGACAGTGGGCTTGTTATCCTGATACTGGTGTTTTCTAGTACATTCTGAAGCCTGAGAGAGGAAGTTCCCAGCCTTTCAAGAGATCTCCACAGTGTGGCTCACCAGTCACACACATCCCACCTCACTGCTCTGCCGTTTCTAGAAACACAGCTTTTGGCGGATGCTCTAAAGGATCCGCAACATTGCTTTTATCATTTTAAGACAGCAGGCTCCCTAGGTCCAGGCGATCTCGAACCGCACAGAACTGTGTAACTAGCAGGGTACGGTACCTTTGTGGCCCCCGTGGCAGGCCCAGTACAGGGCTGTACTTCCAGCTTTGTCCAGGCCGTTCACCCCCACTCGGTTGTCCAAGCACTCCCTCAACCAGCTCAAGTTGCCTGAAAGAATTTTACACTTATAAAAAAACACAAGAAAAAGGCTTTTATCCTTTGTTTTGCTTTTAAATCAGTTTCATCTGTGGTAAGCTCCCATTTGTGATGGATTCATCAGCAAACCCTAAAACGAGACCTGCCCGCTAATGCACTTATTATGGTGCATTTGCACTCAGGGTTATTGACGGACGGACGGCAGTAACATCCATTTTTAATAGGAGAAGTTGTGAAAATAGGTCTAAAGGTATTTCTGCTTCGGAGGGGAAAAAAGGACACTGTTTTTATCTGTTTAATTCTGAAAGGCAGGGTGTAACACAAAACTATAAACAGAAATTCTCCCTATTCATATTTAAAGACACTTTCAGTTTTTGAAGGAAAAAAAAGGAGTACCTTAAGTTTAGTAAGCTGCTCAAAACTGCTCTATGCTGAAGTATAGTCACTAATTTAAAATTTTCAGGCTAATGTACTAAGTATCTCATTTACAAAGAAGGTTTGTTTTTTTTTTAATGTCATTGTAGTTGGTCTAAGTCCTTCTGTTTGCACATGCAGATATGGGAAGAATGAAACTGCTTGCTGAGGCTGCATCAACACTTCCCATTATTCAAAGGACAGCTTCCTAATAGACTTGCCATGGGAGTTTGGGGTTAGAGAAATTCTATGCTGTGGGGCTTGCCTTAGGCGCTCTACGATGTTTAGCAACAGCCTGGGCCTCTACCTGAAGAACGCCTTGTGACAGAAGAATGCCTTGGGACAATGTCTTGTGACAGTCAAAATGTCCTCTCATATTGCCAGTGTCCCAGGTGTGGGAGCCAGGTCAACTGGGCTCCCACATTATACCCAAGGATTTTTTTTTTTTTTTTTTTTGGTTTTTCGAGACCGGGTTTCTCTGTGTAACTTTGCGCCTTTTCCTGGATCTTGCTCTGTAGAACAGGCTGGCCTTGAACTCACAAAGATCCACCTGGCTCTGCCTCCCAAGTGCTGGGATTAAAGGCATGCACCACCACTGCCCGGCCCCCAAGGGTACTCTTGAGGAGAGAGGGACAAGAGATTTAGATAGAAGGATAGAGGGGAGAGAAACAGAAACACAGGATAGCCTCAGGAGGGCCAGGATCTTATCTACCAAAGGTCCAGTCTCTGCTAAAGGGCTATTTATAGGAAAGCCAAGGGGGTGGAGCAAAAGACCTCCCCCTAGCTCAGCCAACTGTAGACCCTTCCAATCACTTAGAAACCATACACATGGTCAAACCATCCTCTAATGCAGCTCTGCTAGGTAAAAAAAAGTTCAGATCTCACTAGGAAACCCTTGTGGGCCTCCACACCCAGGCTTGTGGGGATCAAGACAACTCCCACCTTATTGAGTCAGAGCCACCCCCACAACACTCTCCTAAGTGCTATGTCCCAGGACACCACTGCCCTCCTGTCCACCGAGATTTAGAACACTGCGTTTTAATGATCTGTTACACCCATCTGCCCAGATCTGCCTCTGAGCTTTGAGAATCAGATCATGACCTTCCTTCCACCTGCCTAGTCCTCCTTTGAGCACAGTGTAGGAAAGTGCTCAAAGACGTGTGTTACCTGGCATTTTAAAATCACTCTTGCCCTTATAGGGTGACAGACGTCAGCACAGAGGTTGCTTCTGAGGAAGGCAGGGTTTTAAGTAGGAAGGTATGTTGAGAGAACATTCTGAAATGACAGAAATGTTCTAGATCTTAATCTGGGGGTTGGTGCTCTGGGTATATATGTACGTGACAAAACTTATCAAACCATGTAATTAAAACCTAGGCATTTTGCTATAATATCGACCTGTCAGTCAAGATGTGCCTAAATCTGCAATAGTGGCATGACTTCTATGGAGATAAGCAATTTCTTTGATTCTATTTGAAACCTGTTAAACAGAAGGGAATTCATGCCTGGTACTGTAAACCTTTTCAATGGCCATGGCTGGAGATGTCACAGGTCACAGGGGGTAACACACAATGGTTGTTTTGCTTTAGTGGTCATGTTGTCCAACCGCCTTCTAAATATGCATGTTTATACTCATGGTGAGTGCTGCTCCCAACCTTGGTCAGAGAAGCTTCGTTTTCACAACAGCAGCAGTTAACACTGACTACTCATACCCAGTCCAAGTGCTGGGGAAAAGTGAATGCTGAGTGAGTGCTCAGCCCTAAACAGGGTAGCTGCATCATTCTCTCTCCAACCATGGCTCAGGAAACATTGTGAAATACGAAAACGGAAAGAATGTAAGAGCCAGAGGATGGAGAAGAGCACTGTGGCATGAGATGGCCGCTGCACCCATGGACTCACTACATGCACAAGATCAAACCGGTCCCAATTCTGATGTGAATGGGAGAGGGGTTCATGAGGTGCCTTTCCCAGCTGAGAGTTATTGGAAGCTGACAGCTGATGGAGGAAGAGAAGTCATTTCTCTTGGGGGTGTGTCCACTGGTAGGTTACCCATGCTCCAGCGGATGTCCCCACAGCCATGTGCACAAGGACAATAATTGGACTCAGGTTTGTTCATTTTAAAAAGAGAACCTGCAGTTGGGAAGAGAGCATGCTATAGGGAAGAGAGAGCTGAAGGCAGAAAGATCAAAATACTTGTACACAGTTCATGTGTTTCCACTAGTTTGGATATCTGTCCCTGTGCTTTTTCCAATCTTGGTCTCAACAACTCTCGCTCATACAATCCCTCCTCTTTCTCGCCGTTTGGACTCCTGGAGCTCTACCTGGGGCCTGGCCGTGGATCTCTGCATCTGCTTCCACCAGTCATTGGATGAGATTTCTACCACAACAGTTAGGGTGTTTGGCCATCCTATCACCAGAAGAGCCCCCAACTGGATCAGGCCCTCTGGATAAGTGAGACAGTTGATTAGCTTGAACTGTTTGGGAGGCCCCCAGGCAGTGGAACCGGGACCTGTCCTTAGTGCATGAGCTGGCTGTTTGGAACCTGGGGCTTATGCAGGGACACTTTGCTTAGCCTGGGAGGAGGGGACTGGACCTGCCTAGACTGAATCTACCAGGTTGAGCTGAATCCCCAGGGGAGTCCTTACCCTGGAGGAGATGGGAATGAGGGGTGGGCTGGGGGGAGGGCGGGAGGAGGGAGAACAGGGGAATCGGTGGCTGATATGTAAAATTAAATCAAATTATAAAATAAATAAATAAATAAATAGAAAAAAATACTTGTACACATGTATGAGACTCTCAAAGAATAAAACATTTTTTAAAAACCTATGCATTTTGATATACCATATCTTCTATCAAAAAAGAAAAAGAGAATCAAACCTACCTCTTTTTGCAGCTTCATGCAATGGATTGTCGATGGATTCTGCCTGCTCAGCCACTAGATAGAAAACAAAAATGCAAGCCCATCAACGATGTCACTCAGTGATAGACAGGAGCTAGTCATGCCCCATGGGCACCCAGCTTCATGGCCAGAGCCTCAGATACAACAGCTTAATTAACTACTTACTTAGGGTGGATTAGAAGTAACAGAAAATAACCGATAGTACTCCTTTAAAAGAGGCTGGGATCTGTGTTAAATGAAACCAAGCCAAGCAATAAGGCAGCAGTAACACAGCAATCAACTGGAAGCATAAACAACAGCGAGCACAGCCATTAACGGAAACAGAAACAAAACCCCACCCCAAGTTTACTCAAGTGTTCAATAAAGGAAAGCCATGAAAGGTATGAGCATCTGATACCCAGTTCCACATTCTGTGGAACACCTTTGCTTTGAGGATACCTGATAACAGTTGTGATTCCCTTCTGTGGAGACAAGCAGCAGTGACTGGGAGCGACACTGCTGCCTATATCCAAAGGACAGCAGCCGTCTATCTGGTCTCAACCACTGTGGCCCTGGAGTGAGCGGGATCGCCCAGAGCAAGACTGCTGCTCCAGGGCGACCTCAGGCCCACACCTGTCGTCCTAGGAGGGCTGGGGTAGGACGTTCTTTATGTCCATTTTTGGACTTTCTTACATCAGTATCTATGGCCAAGGCAGGAAATGCAGCACAGTGGAAAGATATTTCGGGGACTTCAGAGGAAGAGAACCACACGAAGCCCAGGGTGTGCAGGCTCCTGAGCTCAACCTGGCTATTGTCTCCATGTCTCTGAAGGACAGTCTGTGATATTGGCCAACTCCAGTGGCAGTGCTGGGAACCAGTGCCTGATGCTGGCTCTACCATCAGTCTAAGGAGTCATGGACTACTAAAGCCTAAAAGGCTCTTACACGTGATCTAAACCCAGCACTCCCACTACACAGACGTGGAATCGAATCCAGAGGCATCACTCTGCGTGTCTTTAGTCATGTAGCCTGTTATTAACTGGAAGAAGACGACTGAACTCAGGGACCCTTGTTCACCAATCGTGTGCCTTTTTAGCTTTGCTCGGCTAGTTTCTACTGATATGTTTTTGCATATTCTGCCCACCTTTCAGCTAGAAGTACTAATAATTTTGCATGGGAGACACATCTTTTTTTGTTGTTGTTTTGTTTTTTCGAGACAGGGTTTCTCTGTGTAGTTTTGGTGCCTGTCCTGGAGCTCACTCTGTAGCCCAGGCTGGCCTTGAACTCACAGAGATCCACCTGGCTTTGCCTCCCAAGTACTGGGATCAAAGGTGTGCGCCACCACCGCCCGGCTGAGACACACCTTAACAAGCTCCTCAAGCTGCTTTGATTAGCACTTATGAGTACAACTGTCAGTTAACAAAATGACCACAAACCAGAGCAGTGGTTCTCAACCTTCCTAATGCTGTGGCCCTTTCATAGTTCCTCATGTTGTGGTGACCCCAATCATAAATCATTTTTGTTGCTACTTCATAACTGTGCTTTGTTACTGTTGTGAATTATAATGTAAATATCTGATATGCAGGATATTTGATATGTGACCCCTGTGAAAGGGCCATTTGACCCCCAAAAGTTTCGACCCATGGGTTAAGAACTGCTCAACTAGATGAACAATGTGTGATCTGGAGTTTAAGAGCTTTAAAAGAAAGTACTAAGAGCAGAATCCATAGTGTTTCCCAGGAAACAGTGTGGTTTTTCATGTTACAATGAATTCTCCTAAGCAATGAGTTGGGCTGTGCACACCTGGTATGCATGGCCATCTTATAAACAGGAGGCTCACAGTGCAGCTGGTCACTTACCATAGTTGCTCGGGATCAGTCCTGTCCTGCCTTTGCATGTCCCTTTCCACCAGCTGGTATCACTCTGCCAAGAGAGCAGGGGAGTCAGAATGTAATTGTATCTGAAATTATTTGGGTCCCCAAGTCCTCATTTGGGTCCCCAATGATCAGCACCTTCAAACCCTTGCCATCTGTATCCATGTCCCTTGTCACGAACATTAAGTACAGAAGCATCCCCATTCACATCAGGTACATATCACAGATCTTCCATCAGACAAAGCAGAGATGTGATAAAAGAGGAGGAGTGCACTAGTTTAGGTTATAGCTAAAGGGTTTAGCGGGCAGGCTTCCACTCCTCTCCTGTGATATACTTTTATGCTTTGGCACATTTTCTAAAGTTTCTTCTTGTGTCATCTTCACTTTTGGGTAACAGTTCATCATAGAGAAGTTCACAGCTGTACAGAAGCAGAACAATGCGATACCATCTCCTAACTGCGTGACTCATTGCTTGTGACCAATAATACCCACCGCCCATCTTATTTCCCCTCTGGGATTACCAGGGTTAGTGGTAGGTAGTGTATTTTTTACTTTGCAAGATTGGAATATGTATCTGAAAGATAAATAATTTTCAAAGGCAACTGTGACACCATTACCACAGTTTCTAACTTTTCCCCCCCGGTAATTCTTGACATCATCAATTATCTAAGTCAAACCTCAAAATTCCTAACGGCCCACAGTTCAAGATTTCAAATAAGGGCCACATAGTACAACTAATTTCCCTTTCACTTCACCTTTAATTTATAGGCTCCTCCTCCATTCTTTTCTTTGTTAGTTTTGCTGCTGTTGTTTGGTTTTTTAGCTCTTGAGATATATATACATATATTTGAATAAACAATTTATTTCTTCTATAGAAATTGAAGCAGTCTGGATTTTGCTGTTGTAAACCTATGCTATCATTAAACACATCCCCCTTTTCCATGCATTGCCCATGAGTTGCTACTGAGTTCTAAAAGCATAAGCAGATTCAGCCACACATTTTTGGGAAGGCATGGGTAGTATTGATTTCCCCCATCAGGAAACATGCACGGCAAGGCTGCCTCTGTAGGGATGTAGCTGCTGTCAGTAATCAGAGGGGTTGCAGAATGGGGATATTTTTCCATTTAAATGAAGAGTATATCTCTTTAAAGAGTTAACTTTCCCTTACCAACTCTCAGAACATTCAAGATAAAGTCAGGAAGAAAGGACACAATAAGTACTGACTCCTTCCCTGACCAGGTGTCAGAATAAACACCCTCGTTCCAGAGTATTTCCTCACAGTACCAATGAGATCTGTTTTCAGATAGCATTAGGAAATCATAAACTTCAACCAGTGTTTCAATCCTTGAGGGTTGTTGCCCTGATTGATGCTTAAACTGCCCCCATCTCAGGGTAGTGCATACTGCTGTCCTTGTCACTCCAGTGTGTGGCACTTGCAGTCTTCTGAACCTGCCTTCTATTCCAGTCACAAGATAGCCAGTTCATCCTGCACATTTAATGGCCCAGAGCTGGTACTAGCCATTTCTCAAAGGGGCCTTGTTCCTTTCAATGAAAGTAATATATTATTACTGGGTTGGCAATTTTCTAAGGCCCCCTTCAAAGATAAAATGTGATGCTTTCTTCCAACTCAAATGAAGGACTTCTGTGTTTCTACTTCATTTTACTGACTGACAGATCTGCTCATCCTCCTCCTCCCTGCTGAGAACCCACAATGGACACCAGCGACCTAATGACTCATCCGCCCTCAAATGCTAGACACACAGTAGTCTCAGAGCATCTGCAGGTCAACATGGGCACTCTCTATTTCTTTATATGTATTTATTTATTCCTTCCTTCTATTATTTATTTATTGGCATTCTGTTTCATTTGCTATAGTCACTAGAAATGTTGAGTCAAACTGCCAAGTCTGGCTGAGAGAAAACACTTCCTTCCTGCGTGGCTGAGCTACGTGCCAGAGCGTGATTAAAGTCACCTGATGGATGCATTCTGCTCGCAATTTTTAGGGACTGCTTTTAATTATTTAATTTTACAGCCACATATAAGTTTGTAGGCTTCCAAAGTCATATCTAAAACAAACTATAATTTAAAATAAATCTATTTTTCCTTCCTTCAGATAAAGGAAACTAATTTTAAAGTCATATTTTGCAGCTTTTTCTTTATTTTCAATGTCAGAAAAATAGAAGCATATTTATGTCTCTCACTCTCTCTTTCTTAGTCAAGTAAAGCATAATATATATGCATTTTTATCTTGTTTTATTCCACTTGAATTACATCAGAATAGTATATGAGAGATATCCTCATTCCTTTGTAAGGCTGCAGAGTTCCATCTGTGGCCACCACGAAGCTTATTCAACTATTTCCTATTGATGAATAAAAATGACTATTGCCAATGATATGTGACTGTTTGTGTCAAAAGGCAAGACTCTGCATATATACCTCTATGTAAATATACACAAAAGAATTTACAATACTATGGCTAAACCATGTAGCCCTCTGTTCATATATCTATAGTATCATGTAGTACAGAACATTAGCTGGGCTTACCATGTCCGTGATATAGATAATATCTCCTTCTTCAAAGTACAGTTCATCGGGCTAGAAGGAAGAAAAAAACAAACATTAACTCCATGAGATTTTTCCTACCTTAGAATACAGTGATTTCTTTTAAATTTTTAAATTTTAAATCCTAAAGTATTCCTATAGACAATTACTTCTATATTAACATCAAAAAATAAACTACACAACAAAATATTATAGTAAATTAATACTTGAATTCTAAAGCTGGATTTGTCCTGTGATGAATGTTGTCAAAGAATGTGCATATAACAAGTAAGAGTTTCTAACACCTTTTAGATTCTTCCATTGCAAAGCAAAGGTTTTTCATACCAGCATAGAATACTGGTAAAACTTTTCCCTCTTAAAAATTATGGTAGATTATATACATGCATACATACATACATGCATATTTAACGTGTATGATATATACACATATATGTATATATATATATGGATAAATGTCTAAAATTAAGACCATGAAAGACATCAATACTTGCATTTGCTTATTTTCAGAAAACTATTACCTGGTCTTCATGCTCAGAGAGAATGAATGTTTCTCACACATGAGTATTAATATGTAATTCAGCCTTGACAAGCCTAAAGAGCTAAAACACAAGAAGCCATCAGAAACCCTCGCAACTGCAGGGCCTGACTTCACAGCTAGTGCCCTCACCCTGGCGTGGCCCATCAAGTGCCCTGCAAGCTCTCCCAAGAAGCTAGCACTTGGCTCACACATCCTGTTACTGCCAGTAGATAACACCATGGTTTTCTGAGTAAACGGGAAGTACAACGCCCACTGAAACAGAATCTCAGATATTGACAGATGCTAAGAAACACTGAGCACAGACACAGGATGAAATGATGATTATGCATAAAATATGCACAGGAATTTTCCAAATTTGTTGCTATTACCAAGTACACTTTTATAATATTAGTAGGTATATATATATATATATATATATATATATATATATATATATATAAAACCTTTTCATTTCTGCCTATTCCACACATATAATAAAAATTATACTACTGAAACAAATTATTCCACCCATTCATTTCCCCAAGTGTTTGCCTCCTCTCAGGAGAAGACCAGGATGAGTACAGATGACTCTGCTCTATGATGGATTTCATTTCAAAGCTGATCTGCCCTATCATAACTGCCGTTTGCCCCTCAATATAAACAAAGACTGTTAGCAACTGCATCATGCTTGAAGCAACCACAAATATGAAGCCAGATGAAAGATTCACCAGATGAAAGATCCCCAAAATGGCTGACTTCCTTTAAAGGCAACTTCCTAAAGCATTTATTACCTTTACACTTTGATTTACAGAGACTAGATTTACAGCAGAAGCAGAAGCTACACAAAACTAGTTAAACCCACTGGACCTGAGGAAGTGCACTGTAACTTCATTTGAAATAATATTCAGGAGGAGAGCAATAAAAGACCTCTGAGATTTTTCTCTACCCATTGTTTTGAAGATGGATGGCCAGTATTACTTTCAATACGCTGCAGACATAGAAGTGATTAGAGAAACAATTCCTTTAACAACAGCTGCAAGCGAGAACCTCCCAGAGACACGTAAGAGAGCCCACATTCATCACCATGGCAGGGCACTGAACACAGTGGCCATCTCAGAGCATTAAGGTGGCATTTTATCACCACTTGACTATCTCTCCTTAGAAAGTACTAAGGCATGGGAAGGAAGGAGGAACTCAGAATGGGTGTATTTGGAGATGGGGGATGTGAGCTGTAGCTGTTTCTGTAATGACTGCACTTCCTGGAGTTCTACAGGGGTTAGATATGCGCATTCCACATTAGAGATGTCCTGGGCCATTTCTAGTCTGTATCTGTCCACTCATAGCTCACGAGCCCTCTTCAATCAGTGCCTTGGGGAAGCCAAGGAGCCACCTTTCCCTCCCGTTTTGGTCTCCTTCAAAAGTCAGATCTGCCTAAATTTCCATCTTTAGTAGGATCACTTACCCATGAGAAAAACAAAAACATATGAAAAAAAATCTCTGCCAAAAAAGCCCAAAATACACAGCAGGCGTATGTGTGCATACAGATATGCACACACATCACCTCTTTAATTTCTTCTCTGTAAGAACTGAGTAATGAGTTGGGAAATGAGAAGTGGCCACTTCTTGGGCACAGGGTTTTACTCTGGGGTGATGAAAATGTTTTGGAACCTGCTAAAGGAAGTGGTTGCTCACCGCGGCAACTGTATTAAACCCACTCAACTGTTGGCTTTAAAACGGTCAGTTTTATGTTTTATCTCAATTTTAAAAACAATTAAAGTCAAAACTCTCAGCATCTTTTAGGTGACTGTATTTTGTGGCTTGGTAAAGGGCATCACTGGGAAAATGTCACTTAGCTGAGTCATCCGACGACTTCACAGTGCTGATTCAGCTTTAAATGAGCAGAAGCTGTGCTATAGGGCGACTGCACCTCCACCCGGGTCAGGTTTGATCAAATGAGGCACCAACCAGTAGCCAGTCAGGGGGGAAAAGGTCTGACCATTTTATAAGTTTGGGGTTTTTTGTTTTGTTTTGTTTTTTTTTTTTTTTTTTGGTTTTTCGAGACAGGGTTTCTCTGTGTAGCTTTGCGCCTTTCCTGGAACTCGCTCTGTAGACCAGGCTGGCCTCGAACTCACAGAGATCCGCCTGGCTCTGCCTCCCGAGTGCTGGGATTAAAGGCGTGCGCCACCACCGCCCGGCATTGTTTTTGTTTTTTGAGACAGGGTTTTACCATGTAGTCCTGGGTATACTGGAACTCGCTCTGTAGACCAGGCTGGCCTTGAACTCAGAGATCTGCCTGCCTCTGCCACCCAAGTGCTGGGATTAAAGGCATGGGCCACCACTACCCAGCCATTTTATTAATTTTTATAGTGTATTCTCCTTTAATAGCTCTCAAGTACAATACTAACTACACAGTATCTTCTTCCAAAAGGACAAAATAAAGGGGTGGGCTTTCCTAGCCTGGCTAAGGGAGCGGTTTATGAAATTCTGGACAATGCTGGGGACTGCACAGCCAGTATGGTAACATTATGACTTAAAATCAGACACTACCTAAAATAGTCGCGTTTTCCATTAAGAACTCACAACAGACCACTTAATGTAAACTGTTCAAGGAGGGTCCACTTTTACATTCCTGGCATCGTATTCACGGAAGAGAAACGGGAAAGCAGGGACCAATGATGCCCTGAGTACGTCACTACATCCAGCTTGCGCTCTGGTTTTTAACCACATTCTCTCATCTCTCCTGGGAGAACAACAAGGTCTTAGAACAAAGAAGGGAGCTAGGATGGTGACTCATGCCTTTGATCACAGCACTCAGGAGGCTAAGGCAGGAGGATTGCTCTGAGCTCAAGGCCAGCCTGGGCTGCAGAGAGAGACATTGTCTCCTGAGTAAAGCAAAAGCCGAAAGAAATAAGCAATGACTGGTACTCCCATACCAAGTGTAAATGCATATTAGTACTGAGTGCAAATGTACATTCTCATTACTATCCTATATAGTATGGGTAACAGAGTCCCAAGACAGCAATTTTATTGGTTTATGCAAATATGTTTTTAAAAGCTTAGAGAAACTGTGATATACTTCTAAATTTTTTTAGATTTGGTAACCTAAAAATACAAAAATTAATAAAAGGAAAATAAATTTTTCATGAATGTTTTCATTTATTATTTTTATTATAGTTACTTATGTGCCATGCACTGGTCACGACCTTTGCAAACAGTAATTTTTTTTTTTTTTTTTTTTTTTTTTTTTGGTTTTTCGAGACAGGGTTTCTCTGTGTAGCTTTGCGCCTTTTCCTGGAACTCACTTGGTAGCCCAGGCTGGCCTCGAACTCACAGAGATCCGCCTGGCTCTGCCTCCCGAGTGCTGGGATTAAAGGCGTGCGCCACCACCGCCCGGCTTGCAAACAGTAATTTAACCCTCTCCAAACTTACTAAGGAGTGGGGCCATTTCTTGTTGCCAGACTAACGATGAGATTGTCACACAACATGTGACGTTCAGACTATGGAGCCCCAGCTTCGAATTCCAGCTTTTGTTTTCTCTCACAGAAACATCACACATCACACAGTATCATGACCTAGTTCAATGACGGTGATTTTGGAAAAAAAAATTCCGTATCCTAACTCCTCAATAATGCAGGACAACAATATCGTAAACAGTTCCTTTCCCATGCAAAGTATGCTTGACCTCACTGGGTCCTTGCAAAAACCCACGAGGCCGAACTGGGTCATAGGTAGCTCTAGTTAGCAAGTAGATACAGGAAGGCTGAAGACCAGAGTGAGGAGCATGGCTGGGATCCTACCTCGACTTTTGGATCCCCATTCTAGACCTCCTCACATTATAACCTAGAGCAGCCAAGCAAGCCTTGTACGACCAAGCAGGTCCACCTGGTTTTCCTTCAGAAACCAGCACTCCTCAGGCACTGTTCCTCAGGCACACTGTTCCTCCCTGTCAACATGCTTTCACACTGGTCCATCCAGTCCAGGCAGGTCTCTGGGTGACACTTCATCCAAATGGGGGCCAGGGAAGGGTTAGAATCACAGAAGGTTGAGTGACGCCAGAAATACCTTTCCTTGAAGCAAGATAGATAATCAGGAGCCACACCTGCCTTACTCTACCCAGCCAACGCATTACCAAAACTAGAGCTGGCTGCTACTCTCACTGTCTCCTGGGGTTGTAAGTTGTTAAAAGGAGAACCATAGCCTCCTAGGCTGCTGTATAAGCAAGTAAAGGGCCCCTAGCTTCCAGCTCAGCCTTCAATATGTCCAGGCCACAATGCTCTAAAGAGGTAGTCGGTGCGCTATAAACCATAATGCACTCAACCCACTATGCCTGCAGTGCGCTGTATACTTGGTGTGCTTGGAGTGCTGTGACCTCAGCATACTGTGCAATGTGCTCCGAATGCGGAGCATGCCGTGTGCTGTGCACTCAGCGGTATATTCGGTGTATTCTGTAGTGTGCTGTGAACTTAGTGTACTGAGTATAATGCGCTACATCCTCAATGTGCTGTGTTCTCAGAGTGCAGTGCCCAGCGTATGCTGAGTAAATGGTGTGCTGTGGATGCAGTAGACTCAATGTGTGGTATGCTGAGCCTGCACAATCCTGTGTGCTGTACTGTGGTGGTGTCCTTGTACCATGGTGTGTGGTGTGCGTGCCTTGTGCATGACATGTTGAGTGATCAGTGTGCTGTGTGCCCATACAAAGATGATGACTGCCTGTTACAGGGGAACAAACAATGCTTCCAGCATTGTCCAAGAGACAGGTTCATGCACTCACAAAAGTAAATGAAGGTCTGGGAGGATGTTCAATATCTAATAACAGCTAAAGGAAGGCCTGTGTGAGCTGTTGACCTGTTCACTAGATACTTCAGTATCTAGACTGACAGAAGGGAGAACACGGAGGAGTGTGCGGATAACAGGATGTGGAATGGCCATTATTGACTCTCAGTACCAGTATATCAAAAATTATAGTCACAGTTTAAAAATAGAATACTTTTTAAATTACCTAATAAATTAAATATGTATTACTCCTGTATATTCAATAATAACTAAAGCTTAAAAAAATAGCATGCAAAAACTCCCTCCGGAAAAGAAATGGAGGTAAATTAGTAATCAGTATATCAAACAAAGAAAAGTATTTGTTAAATGTCTATCAACATAGCAACCAGTACTCACTGGCAATAGTGACTATTCCAGCTGCTGTTGCCTTTACGTTATCATAGTTCTCGCTAAAACAACAGAGACAAAGGTTAAGTCATCTCCATGTCACAGGCAGCAAAAGAGGCAGGACAAACCAGAAAGCCTAGCTCAGGCTCTGAACTGGGGTCCTGCTCCCCAGATGGGAGCTGCCTGTACAGTACTGTGCCTGAGTAGTAGTAGTACCACAGTAAGAGGCCTACTTCTAGTGGGAGTGCTCAGCGCAGTATTCACGGAAGGGAAACCAGTTCACAGGAGCAGGGGTCCAGAGAAGGTGCAGAGATGGGCTCTACTGAGAGTCCTCCGGGTGATACAAGAAGGGGGAGGGGCAGGGGGCAGGGGCACTGGAACAAGAGCTACACCATAGAGGACCACATAGTAAAAAACAGATGTGCAGCAGATGGTGGACCGAAGCCACAGACTGGAAACATTAACCTAGCAGGGAACGCAAACAGAATAGAGAAGCTTGAGTCATACTGGAAGTGAGGAAAGGCCAAAGGTCAGGGGGAGTCACACACAGCGAGGGGAGGTCAGTGAGAAAGGACAACAGTGGCCCGAGTAAGGACACCTTCAGTCGCTACCCTCAAGGAACATAGGTCTCATTCTAGAGGAGGCTTGCTGTGAGCTCTCCTCCACAATTATCCTCCTCCGTGATCCTGATCTCATCAGAGACGTCCCTGTAAGCAAAGTTAAAGATGACTCTGGGCTCAGGCCACTCTACCCGTCATGGCCTTTTGTGCTTCCTCCCAAATTCTGGGTTGCTGGCCCAACTCCCAGCACCTCAGAGACAGGGCCTTTTGTTTTTGTTTTTGTTTTTGTTTTTTGAGACAGAATTTCTCTATATAGCCCTGGCTGTCCCCGAACTCACTCTGTAGACCAGGCTGGCCTCAAACTCATAGAGATCCACCTACCTCTGCCTCCTGAGTAATGGGATAAAAGGCATGGGCCACTACCTCCTGGCTGGAGACAGTCTTTATTAAGATCATTAGGATTCAATGAGGGCTTCAAGGCAGACCCCGACCCCACACAACTGGCATCCATGAAGAGACGGGAACACCGACCGACACACCCAAGGAGAGGCCATGTGAGGACATGGGGAGAAAGTGACTTACTACAAGTCACCATGACAGGCCTCAGAAGAAACCAGCCCTGCTGTCAACTCCATCTGGGGCTTCTGCCTTCCAGGATAATGAGGAATTGTACGTCTGTGGCTAAAATTTCAGGTCTGTGGTTCTGCTACGGCAGCCCCCTCCACAAACACTCTACCCACGGCTCACCCACCTCATATGGTGACAGTGACAGCCCCGGAAGCCTGCTACCTCTGAAGTCTTGGGAAAGCTCATCTGAGTATGCAGACTTGGACTGGCTATTAATCACTGTCACCGGCTGATGACCACCAAGTGATGGACCTCCAATAGGAACCTTCTGTCAGGACTGCAGGGCGGCTGTGGTGTAGAGCAGTGAGCAGTATTCCCATGTTCAAATGAGGAACTGGGTAGGGGTTTAGGAAAGGGCAGATTGTGATCTCCCAGCAGGCCCCGGCCTGGTGATGTGAGTCAGCACTCAGAGTGGGAGAGCCATGCCAGTGATGATGGATACCATGGAGTAACTATGGGAGAAATGATGGGTGCTATGGAGGGTGTTCCGGCTTCCTTCCTGTTGCTGTGATAAAACACTGATGAATGCAGCTTAGGGAAGGAAAGGGCTGATGCGGCTTACATTTCCATCACGGGGGGAAATTAGGGCAGGAACCCAAGCAGGAACCTTGAGAAATCATGGGGAAATGGTGTTTGCTGGCTCCCTTGTGCTCAGCTAGCTTTCTTACATTTCCTTCAGCTGTTGCTGCACTATTCACAAAGGCTCACTGAGCGTGTGGCACACAACAGGGGCTCACTAAACCCTGAGTGGGTGGGTGGACACCGGGATCCACAACAACAGAAACATGCTGATGGAAGAGCTGAGATAATCGCTCCAGGAGGCCGGCAGAAGGTGTGAGGTAGAGGGTCCAGGAGCGGCTGAGGAAGGTTGGTGTGTGACCCACAGCAAAGCTGACAAGGATTGGGGTCTCTGTAGTTTAGATATTTTTGTACGTGGGCCACTTGGTGACTTAAAACAGATGTCACCACACACAAGGAGAGAAGCCATGTGAGGGAGTCTATGACCTCCAAACTCAGGCCATGCACATCAACCTGGGGCTTAGCTCCACTCACTAGGGGAGAGCATTGGGGAAGAGACTGAACACTCATCCTGTGAATTACTCACAGCATCGCAGAAAGTACAGACTACTTATGCCAGAACAGATGTCTAAAGAAAGTCATCTTAAGTTGTGTCAATTTTACAATTTAAATCAGAATACTTACAGTCCTGGGTTCAAATGTATACAGCGCTCTGAAGACTTTAACTTGCCCTAAAAGAAGAAAAAACAAAAAAAGAATCTGATCAACTCTTTTGTTTCTAACTTTATTCTAAGTTGTTATTGATTTTCCTCATTAGAATTCCCAAATGAAAAGTCTATTTGGGAATGTTACTTTAGAGCAGTGGTCCTCAACCTTCCTAATACTGCAAGCCTTTAACACAGTTCCTCATGTTGTGGTGACCTCAACCATAAAATTATTTTTGTTGCTAACTTAATAACTGTGATTTTGCTACTGTTATGAATCACAATGTAAATATCTTTGTTTTCCAATGGTCTTAGGTGACCCTCTAAAAGGGTCATCTGACCCCCTCCCAACAATCCATGGTTGAGAACCACTACTTTAGAGGTAGTACCTTTTCCCCACAGGATGACATGATTAAAATGTTTATTACATGAATACAACAGTAAGCACATGTCTTTGGTCTGACAGAAACTACAGATTTGCACTGCATCTCTGTCCTGAGTAGAGACAGCCCTAACAATAATATTATAATAATGCTTAAAAATATAAAGTTGAGGGGTTGAGAGGGCTGGAGAGATGGCTCAGCAGTGAAGAGCACTTGTCTCTCTTCCAGAAGACCCAATACAGATGCCATGCAGGCAGCTCACAACTGCCTACAACTCCATTCCAGAGGATCTAACACCCTCCTGTGGTCTGTACAGGAACCTGCATGCAAACACACACACACACACATACACACACACACACACACACACACACACACACACACACACACACACACGTATGTGTGTGCACATAAATGAATTATAAAATTAATCTTAAAGATAATTAACTAGGTGAGGTGTGGTGGTGCACATCAACAATCTCAGCACTCAGGAGACAGAGGCCAGCCAGCATAGCCAAAGCAGGACGCTCCAAGTTCAGTGAGAGACCCAGTCTCAAAATATAAAACACAGCAACTGAGCAAAACACCGATGTTGACCTCTGGCCTCCACACACATGCACATGCACCTGAATGCACAAGTTCACACACATACCTTGAACATCCACACCATTAATGGGGCCCTTCATATTCTAAATTACATTGCTGTTTACATTCATTTCATTAATGTATGTAATATTTATAACATGCAAAAACAGCAACCACACTCATTTTAAGCAGGGGAGGAAATCATTAAACATCCAACCACAGAAGAGCAACTCAGATTCTCACATGACTTAATGTGTCTACCAGAAAACTTTAGTCAACTGTAGTTGGTCACACCTGTAATTACAGCATTCAGAGGCTAAGGCAGGACTGACACGAGTTTGGACCACCTTGGGCTACACACAGTAAGATCCAGGTCAGCCTGTACCATAGAGAGAAGCTCTGTCTCAAAACACAGAGGGCTAGAGAAGATAGCTCAGTTCGTAAAGTTCCTACAAACAAGGTGTATGGCACCTGAGGAAGGACCTATGAAATTAACTCCCCCCCCCTCTCTCTCTCTCTCACACACACACACACACACACTTACTCACACACTCACACTCACTCACACACATACACACACACTTTGCAATCTGAATTCTTGTGCTATGTCTCTCTGTTTCTATGAAGAGAAAGTCACTGGCAGAAATAAATATAATTTTTTCCCTTGTCTTTGTTAGTTTGCTTGTCTGGAGACTCCATCCACACCTCACAACCCTTAGAGAGAAAGGAAACATCACAAAGAGGAAGCCAGGTGTGATGGTACCCACCTTAATCCCAACACTTGGATCTCTAAGTTTGAGGTCACACTGATCTACATAGCAAGTTCCAGGACAGCCTGGGCTAGAGAGTGAGAGCTGGTGCAGAATCAAGGAGGCAGGAGAAGCTGCCAGAGAACATTTTCTGTAGAGTTGATTGTTTGCAGACGGTGGAGATTAGTTATCTCAATTACTTCAAACTTTCCAAAGAGCAAGGAAGCAGTCCATTGTGATCAACATCAACAATAGAACTTTCTAGTTCCTTACAGATAATGGTAAGGATGAAAGATGTGAATAGTCTTGCAAACAAGATACAACGACAACTTTAATGGGCTCAGATAAAACTCAATAGAAATTGAAGAACCTGCAAGTAAATACACAGAAAGTGACCGAACTACTAATCTGCATAACTGAAGTTCTTTCAGTTCTGATGCATACTAAATACTGAACAGCAATTACCCTAACACAGAACGAAGTGTGAAATCCAGAAGACACTTCAACACAGGATACTATTTACGGCTTAATACTGGGCCATTAACCTTCTGTAGATCCCTTTCACTTCATATTCCAAAACATTGGGGCCCGAATTCTCAAAATTGAGTCAATTGGAAATGAAAGAACATAACAGAAACATCCAGAGGCTAAGGAATCACAAAACCAGTAGATTGCTCACAACTGCCAGGCAACGGGTCGGAATATTTTGTTGTTAGATCAATTAATACTAATACGTAATCCACTGGTCCTTCTGATATACTGAGTTAGCGCTGGCCAGTGCTCCACAGACTGACTTCAGCCTTACAGCAGTGTCTAAGGGACAAGACCTAAGCTCTGTTTCTTGGTGACATCTGACAGACATCCAATGACAGGGAGCATCGAAACAGATCCAGGACACACACTGATCAATTCCAAATTTACTTAAGGAAGGCAGACTCACAAACGTCAACGAGCTGTGCTGCTGGACGTGCAACACATGCTCTCTAAGGCTCTCTGCTCGGCATTTTCTCACACAAGCATGGTTACATATAACAAAGAGGCCTGCCCGGGAGCTGAGAGACTGTGGAAATGGCCTGAAATTGGGATTCATCAGAATGAGAAGTCCTGGAAAAGACCCAACAGAACCTCTGTCTTAAACATGGGCTGAGTCTGGGATGATCCAGCAGCGTCCGAGTGGTACTGTAGGGAGATCCTGTGTGGTAGTCTCTGAATTAAGCAGTTCTAACCACTGACGTCGGTGGCTGTGTCTCCCTTCTCCAGCCTTGCCCTTCCCTTTTCTCACTAACTCCCTGCTGTCACTAGAGAGGAGGAGACCTCCATCAGCAGCCAAGTGCTGCCTCTTCCTCTGCAGGAAGGCTGGCCCCAGACTTTAAAATGTGAAGGTCAAGGTCACAGAAGGGTGAATGCGGAGGGAGGAGATCTGGTCTTTCATGGCCAGAAAGGAAGTGTGGGCTTCTCCAGGGTTTATCTTTGCACCTCTGGAACAAGACATAGATGACTCTATGGACTTGTAAAAGAGAGCAAAAAAAGTCACATCTAACTTGTTAGTGAAGGGCTGGCGGAGCTTCACATAACTGTATTTAACTGGCATGTACACATACATAAAAAGAGAGAAAACGGAGTTACCCTATAAAAGTTACCCTAGCAAAACAATAAAAATAACAAGTGAAAAGCCAAATATCAGGTATGAGTTAATTCTTTTGGAGTTGTTGGCTACTTTCTTAGAGTTTCTATTAATGGAATAAAACCCTATGACCATAAGCAACTTGGAGGCAAGGGTTTATTTCTGTTACAACTCCACATCACAGTCCTTCTCTGAAGGCAGTCTGGGCAGGAACTCAACAGGGCTGGAACTTGAAGGCAGGAGCTGATGCAGAGGCTGTGGAGGAGTGCTACTTACTGGCTTGCTCTCCACCGCTTGCTCAGCCTTTCTTAAGCTCCCAGAACCACCAGCCCAGAGGTGGCACCACCCATAGTGAGCTAACTGGACCCTCTCACATCAATCATCAATTAAGAAAATATAGCACAGGCTTGCCCGAAGGCCACTCTCTGGTGGGTGAATGTCCTCAATTGATGTTCCATCTTCCCACATGACTCTGGCTTGTGTCAAGTTTGACATAAAACTAGCCAGAATAGCCAGTGAGGTCCCTTAGGCCCACAAATATTACAGGCTATAGCCAAAGCTCTAAGTTATCATCTAGAACTTGGTGGTAAGACCTTATTACTACACACACCACATGCTAAAGTCATAAACATTGCAAAATCAAGCTGGTGTTGACCTGGAAGGTTCATCCTACATGCTCACTTTCATAGAGCTAGAAAGTGCTATTCAAGCTACTAGGAAAGAAAACTACTATCAATCACGCCCAGCTATGAATTCAACAAGCTACAACAACTGACTGGCCTAGAAGACATGCTCAGAAAATGGAATGGTACTATTAGCAATAAAAAGAAATGAAAAGATGGGGCAGACTTCAATGCACATTACTAAGTAAAAGAGATCAATCTAAGAAAGCCACATATCTTAATGACTCTAACTATGTGACTTTCTGGAAAGGGGAAAACAATAGAGATGGCACAAAGATCAAAAAGAAAAAAAAAGACAGAGCAAAGATAATCTTTAGGGCAGTGAAATGATTGTGTTGTACTGTAATGGTAGATACATATCATTATAAATTAGTCTATGGGTGATAATGATGTTATCTGTGTTGGTGGGTGGGTGTATTAGTCAGGGTTCTCCAAATGAAGAGGACCCACAGAATGAATAGAAATACTAAAAGGGGATTTTTTAGACTATATGATCTAGATAGTCTAACATACCAGTGCTGTGGAATATTTTAAAATGTGTTACATTTATTTATGCTTGTGGAATATCTGTTTAATGACACAAAGATGTGTTGCATTTGTTTAACTCTGTAAAGCTGTGTTACTTTGCCTGTCTAAAACACCTGACTGATCTAATCAAGAGCTGAATGGCCAATAGCTAGGCAGGATAGAGAAATAGGCAGGGTTGCCAGGCAGAGAGAATAAACAGGAGGAGAAATCTAGGCTCAGGAGAGGAGGAGGAGTAAGGAAAGGAGAAGGAGGGGAGGATGCCAGGGGCTAGTCACCCAGCTACACACCCAGCCTTGGAGTAAGAAGGAAAGAAAGATATATAGAACAAAGAAAGGTAAAAGGCCCAGAGGAAAACATAGTTAACGAGAAAAACAGGATAATTTAAGTTAAGTTAGAAAAGCTGGCTAGGAACAAACCAAGGTAAGGCTGAGCATTCATAAGCAAGAATAAGTCTCCATGTATTTATTTGGGAGCT